AAGAAACTGAAAGATCACAAAACAGCTAAAAAAAGGCTGAAATTAGCTGAAAAAAAGTTTAAATTTGAGCAAGGAAGCTGAAAGAAGCTGAAGCAGAACAAAATGTGAACGGAACAGTAAAAGGTTGTAAACAGATGTAAAGATATGAGGGATGTAAAATGAACTCAATTCATTTTCTATGAGGAAAAAAAATGGCAGAAAAGTCTAAATATTTCAAAAAGCCAAAGTTACACCAATATCAAAAGTCATAGCAGCCTTCTCCTGAATGTTTTAATTTATGATTTGCTGAAAACAAAATTTGTGGAACAAGAAAGATACTGAAAAATGTATGGAAGAAAAATGGATCACAATAGAGTGAACGCTTCATAAACATTCACACAATAAACACGGTCACAGCCTTTGGAAGTGTGCACGTTTGAGCTGCTCCTTCCTGGAAATGCACGTCATCAGCAGAGAATCTAACCCTTCCTGGGGGAGTCAGTCTCGTGGTTTGTTCACAGACTCAGCTGGTAATGTTTATCCCCCTAATGAACACCAGTGTTTCCCCTAGTTAACTTGCCATGGCGGGGTGCTCATCTCATCCATGATTTTTGTTGACGGGGGGATGGACACATGGGGGTGGGGGGTGGGTGGGGAGCAAGTTTGGTTTGGTAGGCGGGGTGCTCAGTTCTGTGGACGGGGTGGGGTACCCCGCTTGTATAATGGTAGGGGAAACACTGAACACTGCTCTCAGCTTTCTCACAGAAACTCTTCAATAATGAATGAAGCATTAAGAGAAACCAACACTTAACACTTCCTCGTTCATCTTTCATTTCCTCCTACGTATAAAGTTTAGGATAAAATGATGGCAGCCATCAGTCAGAGGAGATCCACTAAACCTTAAAATTCTTACCAGTATCACCTACAGAGTCCACTCCGTCCTGGAAAACAGAATGAAAAGAAAAGAATTAGCATCTAGATTGATTCAGAGTTTACTAAATCATCAATCAGAAGAAGAAACGCATGCACTGAGGTGTTTCCTCTTTGGAGTCTTGAGTTTTGTTTCTCCTTTCTGAAGCAAAAACTTCAGACTGAACCAGGTCATCCGACAACACAGAGGTCAGTATGTCAATGGTCAGTGGGCTGCGTATGTTCGAGATTAGTCGGTGACTCAAAACTGAAAGTAAAAAAAAAAAAAGATCCATTTTCTGTTGCGGTCTGTGTGAAACCAGTGCCATGAGAGTAATGAGTCCAGTTTGATTCAAACAATGGCCTCACTGTGTGCACAGCTTATAAAGCTGGACTCTTGACAATGAACCTTTTTTTTTATATATAACTACCCGCCCACAGCCACAATGTAACACCCACACACACATCGCTTTGTTAACCACTCCCACATTTCTGATTTAATCTACTGAAGTACACTTTTGAAATAAAGACAGACAGACGTGCACCAGGTTAAGAATTATTACATCTAAAGTTTTACATGTTTCTATCCTAAGGAGAGCTCCTGCGCAAGTGTCCAAGCTACACTGTAGAAATCACTTTAAACTGATGAGTTCCAGACACACACCACTCCATTCTGAGAGGAAATTTAGTTACACAAATGTTTTGACCAACTGTTTGAAAAACCTGCGACATGCCTGTGAGCCTCTTTGACCCAAAGAAATGTTGCTTGGTTTTTTTTTTGACACTCGCACCGACAGACCCAGTCCAGTGAGGTCCTAACCAAGACCCCGATCAGACCTGGCACCAACATCAGTCCTGAGCTAGTTGTATCTAGATGGAGCTGCAAACACTCAACACGCATTGAAGACATCGTCACACAAACAACAGCTGCAGCCGTCTGTAGAAGACTGGTTGAATCATTCAGTCTTTGCTCTGACACTCTGAGGGTACTGATGCTGTGCAGCTTTATTTCTCTCATATTGTGTCTGTTAGCTAAAGTAGCGTAATAGATGTTATGTAGACTAAGGAACAAAGATTTATTTCTGGCTTGTTTAAAACATCAGAAGACATGCTGATGTTGTTGTTCACTGACAGCCCACTGGTCGTCATGGTTACAAGTGTAGACCAGTAAAAAGGTCTGAGCCCTCAAGGCTCGTGTCCTGCCAGTTGTAGTCAGACTGAGACCTGACCTCTCGACTGAATCTGTCAGAAAGGACATTAGTGCCAGCTCCGAACAGGGCTAACATTTTTAAGCCACAGGTGTCCAAAGTGTGGCCCGAGGGCCATTTGCGGCCCTTGGAGAGATTTTGTGCGGCCCACAACTGCAGTTTAAGAATGGTTTCATTTTGGCTAGCATGCTTAACAGGTCGATGTAGACTTTCTACAAATTAGTTGATAACCCTTTTTTATATAATGTTTAGGTTTAACAGTAAAAACAGATGAAAAACAATCTTCTCAAAATGAGCATTATTAAACAAAATACAAACTTTGGCTTTAAACTTTTTATTTTCACGTCATGGTACAAAACACCAAAAACCTTTATTGATTTCTACCAGAAAGGAGACTTTTGGATAATGATTCATAAAACTTGGATAAATATTGCAGATGATAAAATAATCAGGAGAGAAATTGGACATTTTTAAATGAATATAATGTGGTGTCATCTGCGTACGAGTTGATCAACTTTATCAAACCTTCTATGAATCT